TGGTAACCTTTGAGATCAAAGACAGAATGAGGGACGAGGCTGTGCAGGCACAGATAAACACTCAAGTCTGACAGAAGCGACCACAGAACAGTAGTAAGTTGGATCAGTGAGCCATATCCCCTCTTCTAAGACAGGGGACTGGGAAAGACAGATGGGCTTGGAAGAGAGAGAGAGAGAGGCCAAAGACTTGCCAGCTGAGGGGCCACAATGCATGTTGTTGGTGCACAGAGAAAAATAAAGCTCGCCTCTGAGAACGTGAATAGGCTTTGGGTTAGTTAAATACCTAAAAGTTTCACTAGAGCTCTTTGAAAAGGGAGTAGAACATCCTTTCAGTCTCCCTTTCCTTTCTAGGACTTTTAGTTAGGAGTCCCAGGTAGCGAACAAGATGATGGTTCCGACATGAAGTTAGTGTTCATTATCTACTGGATTCTGACATACGCACGAACTTGTAGCTCAATCAATCCATATGGCGAATGCCACTCAATGAACTTACAATGAAGAACATAAACTAACAAATCAACCTCAGCTGCCCTGCATATAATCTCCAGGAGACTTTGATCTAATATGGGGATATGTGTGGGCAGAGCTGGGGTTGTTACTAGCGGTGGTAAAATTTCTCAGAAACTATACTGCCCTTTAATAGGAAAGGATGAAGGTTTGGATGTTTGCTGGCAGAGAAGTCTTAACTGAGTAACTACTTACCTTGCATGTTGGGTTATCATGCCTGCTCCTGTCCGGCCATCACCCATTCGCCTTGCATCATGATAGCCAGGACCTTGAGAAGGTGGACCATGCCATTCTTTCCTTGGTCCACTTGTGTCCCGTCCATGGCGTTCAACCACATGTCGTTCTTCAGGGTAGTGCTAAAGAATCACATGGCATAAAAAAAGTCATGACATCTGTAGCCTCATGCCAATTTACGTACGCTGGTATTCTCTTAATGTCAGAAACAAATCAATAAAATGTTTGAGGGACGCCTGGGTGGCTTGGTTGAGCATCTGCCTTTGGCTCAGGGCGTGATTCCAGAGTCCCAGGATAGAGTCCCTGCAGGGAGCCTACTTCTCCCTTTGCCTGTGTCTCTGCCCCTCTCTGTGTGTCTCTCATGAATAAATAAATAAAATCTTAAAAAAAAAAAATGTTTGAGAAGAAAAGAAGGTGAATAATACCAGGGCACATGCAAAGGGTTCCACCTATTTTATATTGAGAAGCTGCTTAGCCTCAGAGTAGGATATGGGGGCAATGTAACTTCTCTTTCCATACCTTTCAGCATGCATGTACTTTTCAACCCTTGAGTAATAGGTGTGTAACAAGGCACGGTGAGGGGTCAAAACTCTAAGACAAATCAGGGTGGGGTGTAGGATCAACAAGCAAACAGCACACAGACATGGGAGCTGTCATCTTATTTCAAACCGTGCTCATTACTGCTGTGACTCTTACAAGGTCTTACATATGTGACTATGAAAAACACAAGGAAACAAAAGCCATAGAACTAAGGACCCAAGGAAAGCAGAGTAGAAGTTATGACAGTCTACAGAAAATAAAGCTGAAGGTACTCTATATTAGGAAAAACAGAATTTTCAAGGGAGGAACAGAATCTCCTCCTCAGGATTCCTTTTCTAAACGGATATCAGAATGCAGGACTAGTCTATGAGACTGCCCTACATTTTATTCTAAATAGGGCAGAATGTCTGGATTACAAACCCTGTCTTAAAAGTTCTGTTCAGGGTAAGGGTAAAGAGCTCAATGAACTAACTAATCTACTGAACATTCCTAACTTATTAGAAACATGAAAGCTTATGCCATCAAGCCCAAATCTGTTTCATGAATACTCTGGATGAAATGGAAAAGGAGTAGCAGTATTAGCTAGGATGCCAAGGGATCAAAAACATTTTCCAGTAAAAAATACTGCTACAAAATCTAATAGGTATTCAGACACAAGACGTAGCATTAGAGTATAATCAGGCTGGAAGATGGACGGATGGACACACACCCACACAAACACACTTCAGAATTCTTTTTTGTATATAACTTAAGAAGATATTGTATTTGTGCTGTCAAGTAACATAACAGTATTTCATCAACAGAATGCTTTCAGGTTAGGTACAAAAGGTCTTGGTTCATCTGAGTTGCTAAGAGATGAAGATACTTCCTTCTGGCCAGGTTCATTAATTTACAAAATATTCAAGTCAATGAAGTGTCACAAAAATAAAAAGCAATTTAAATATGTAAGATATTCCACTCATCTACCTTTAGATTTAAAAGAACATAAAAGAGACAAAAAGTTTATCTCAGTTCTACACTCTAAGCTACCTAACAAACTAGGAGAGTATTAAAAAAAAAAAAAAAAAAAGAAGGAAAAAGCGAAAGAGAAACACAAGTAGAGGCCGAAGATTTCCCACCTAGTCTGAAAGCCTCGATTTCGTAAAGAGAAATAAAACCTTCACTGCTAGCAAGGCTCATCTACAAAATTTAACAATGCTCAAATTTCAGCAGGAGTTTTAATTAAAAGGGCTTAAGAATTTCTGGGCTGGTATTTTCCTTCTTTGGACTATTAATGTTCAAATTGAATGTTCAATTGTTGACAGTAAAATATGAAAAGTATTAAGATCTTTTCTAAGAACCTTGTCTCCCAATCATTCTACTCTAACCAATCTCAGCCACATCACAATAGTATATCCTCTGACTTTATTCCTGAAGAGGCGATGATAAACCCTTAAGCACTTACCTGTGTTCCGCTTCCTCGGTCTGTGATCACACCCCTGTCTCCCTCTCGGTTTCCGTAGCCTGAAGCATTACTGCGATTACCAGGGGGAGCCCCTCTTACACTGTGTCCTGATACTTCCCTCCCCGATCGTTCTGGCCTTTCAACCCTGTTAAACAAAACCCAAAGACATCTCTAATCAAAACTCTGTTATGCCTTTGTTTTCTGAAACCCAAATATGCTATATGCCACCAGCCACTACAGAGATACCTTGTTTCCCGTTTGTCGGCGGACATGCCACCGTCACTTTTCCAGGTGGTTGGTCTGGATGGATTGGGCCCTGCTTCTCGAGGATGCCGGGGGTGAGTGATATCAGGCCTGTCGTGGATGATCACAGTTCTCCTCTCGTCTCGTTCTCCCCGGACTTCTCGCCTGTCCGTTTCTCTAAGTTCATTTCTTGGTGGTGGAGGCTCATTTCTTCTGGAGTCACTGAAATTTTTGGGATACCTTTCAAAACCTGGATCTTCTCTTCTTGCAGTAGGACGTGTTTTTTTCCCTTCACTTTGACCAACAAAACGTTCTCGCCTATTGATTATCCAAAAGAAAGAACACAGATCCTGAGAAGTACTTACTTGGCCTTATTCTTCTTAATTTTATTTGCGTAACTTACAAAAACCACAGTTTCTTTAAAAATTAACTTAAGGCAAAGCCACCAAAAAAACCCAGTTCTGATTATAATAACTTATATTCTTTTAAACTGAGCTAAATGACTGGCATGATGGTTGTTGTTTAGCATCTGGGAAGAATTACACCAAACACTCACATTGGTAATCTCAACAGCTCTCAACAGTTAAGACACATCCAAAGCTAATGATATTCCCACCTAGTTTTAAATAAAGTTAAGAAGATAAAAGTCAATCTACTTAACCTTGTTATGGTTGCCTACTAATTTTTTTTAAAGTTTATTTATTTAAGTAATCTCTATACCCGACATAGGGCTCAAACTCATGACCCCAAGATTAAGAACTGCATGCTCTACTGACAGAGCCAGCAAGGCGCCCCAAACTAATTGTGAATACTGAATCACACTGACATTAATAAAAACAAAAATCAAACAGGATTCATTCTGAACGCTCAGATCTGACCTACAACAATTAAGATTTTAATAGAAAACCGAACTTATTATTAGCAAGGCTCATGTACCAAATACAACAACTTTCAAGGTTATCTACCTTTCAAAAGATGAAGACTGTACTGTTGAACTCTCAGGAAACCTGCCCCTCTCTCGGTGATCAAAGTCATTAAATCTGTTTTGCTGGCGAGAATAGTCAGATCCATGGCTGAATCGTGCATCTGTATCTAGAGACAACTTTTTATTCTCGCTCCAGTAAGGATCATCTCGCCTTGAAGAGAAATAGTTGCTCATTTATATAAATTAGTTTTATAATAATCCAACAACACTTACTTGGACTTATACATACCACATGCTAGGAACTGTGGATACAGAGGGCTAATAAACTCAAGACACAAAACATTCAGTTACAATAACAAACTAGCAAAGACTTAATTACCAGCTTACATAAAGTCATATAGCATTAGAGGAATTTCACAGGAGAGAAAACTTGAAAAATGGCCTGTTCTAAAATTCATAAATGGAAAAGACAGATACTATTTTATAATAAAATTCTAATCACAGTACACAACTTTTTCGGTTACACCTAAGTTCAGAAAGGTTAGCTAGGTAAGTACTGAGCACATTTTATTCTTTCCATTATTCTCAACACAATCAATTAAATCTCATACAACTTATATTAAGAAAAATGAGTGTATTTGGAAATCTATTGAGCAGCATGAACACAAACACACAACACAATCTTTCCAAGTTTGTAACTTCCAAGTTTATCTGCACTACCCTGTAAGAATTTTCAAAATGGGTCTGAGTTTGAGAACCATCACTAAAATATACTATGATGATGTATTTCCAATCATAATGGAAAAACATTTAGCATTAGGAAGGGAAAGGGAAAAAGAGCAGACTCTTCCTGCTTGACAATGCACTGGATCCACTCCCATCCCTAAGGATCATGACTTTTTATTCCAGTGATGGCTGCCTGTACTTGCTAATCCTCCATCAGTCTTAGTTCCAAAGGCATAGGATAGCAAGTGCTAACTGTTAAAAAAGAAAGCAGGCAACTACCTATGATCTACATCACGTGGGCGTTTCAAAGAATTCCTTTTCTCTTGTTCATAACGAAGCTGCTGCTGTTGCCTTCTCAGTTCCTCTCGTTCTCGAGCAATACGTTCGGCTTCCTTGCGACGTTCCTTCAGACAACACAGAAGGAAGAACCAACCAATGCAAAATGAAAACATAAGGTAAGTACATGCGCAACCTTGTTTTCACCCTGTCATTAAGAAACCACCATAGGCAAGCACCGGGCAAAACACATACCTGGGACAAATACATAAACAATATTGACCTCAGAAATCAGTAATCTAGGCTACAGCTATTGTTCTACAACATTAAAAATAACAGAAATTGGGGGGTGGAAGTTGGTAGGTAATTGGGAAGGTCAGATTTTCGTTCCATTATTCAATGGAAACAAAAACCTAAAGAGAATTGCAGATCAAGTTCTTAATACGTATGGAAACCAAGTGCCTTAAAACCCTGGATGCAATTCTGCAAAGAGAGGCATTATTTCCTTCCAGCCTTGGGAAATCATTCCCACTCTAATATGTAAGGAAATAAGTTATTATTTGCTGAGACTGGGATAGTGACAGAGCCTGGATTACAACTACTCTGGACTCATAGTCCTATGCTCAGATTATTAGGCTGCCATGATATTGCAGAGCTTGAGTTATTACCAATTGGCTAGAACAAAGTCATTACTAAATGTATTCTGAACTAGCACCTAAGTGATTGTTATCTTTCAGGGACACTATATAAATGCTCATTAGCTGAACTCTAGAAGCTTTACAACAAGTAAAGCAAATTTTAGGGCAAAAATCACAGGGTTTGAAAAAGGTCAGTTATTTAAGATGAAAAGATTTTCTGACTGCACCTGTTCAATACGAATGCGTTCCCTTTCCAAGCGTTCGCGTTCCATTCTCTCTCTCTCTAGTTTTTGCCTTTCAATTTCTAGGCGCTCTCTCTCTCTCTGTAAGCGTTCCCGTTCTTCCCGTTCACGAATTATTCTAATGCGTTCTCGCTCTCGACGCTCTCTTTCTGCAATCTCTCTTCGTCTAACAAAAATCAGTATTTAGAAATACTTAAATTATGCTAGCACTGTGTGAAAGAGAATAGCTTTTGAGTTTGAATTTTTCCTCGAGGTTGGCAATTTTAAACTTTGACTCAACCTAAGTTTTAATGTAACTGGAAAGAGAACTCAAAATAAAACTTTAAACAGACTCCAACACTGTCACTTATTTATTAAAGGCTGTCAACTGAGCAGCTGAATTTTATAGAGTATTTGCCTCTTAGAGGACATTCCTGTTTAAATAAAAATCCCACTATAATAATAGCCCATTAGTGAATCAACATTTTAAAAAGGAGATACTCTACATATATGAATTTACAAAACTACAACTTGTACTGCTTTGGGGAGGAAAATTTCCAGTATCGGGTATATGGTCTAGCTCCTGACACAAGGTACACCTTATTTTGATGACTTGGGATCATACCCATCAACAGGAATTAAAGCAAATGCTACATATGATAAAATGTTGCCTTCCTTAAAGGCTTTTTTGGTGTTCACTGGCCCACACTTCTTTTGAGTTAGGAGGCAGTTCAAAGGTTTGCTGAACTGAATAAAGTTTGTGTTTTGGGACTTTTAATCATATCGTTGTCATGCCCTCAATCTAAGGCCCTCTGTGTACTCGGTCTATCAGTGTCTTCCTCTAACAGCCCAGTGGTTCTCAGTGGCTCAATGCTGCTCCCATGCAAATCTGAAGGGCATTTAAAATTTTTGCAACAACTGTGGGGGCTGTTAGCAGCATTCAGTGAGTGGGGACCAGGGATTCTAAATATCTTATGATGCAAAGAATAATCAAGATAGTTCTGTACAACAAAAAACTGTCCAACACTCATCAGACCTTTCAAATGCCATAATGGACATTCATGTTACTGAAACAAAACAAAACAAAATAACCTTAACAAAACTGGACCCTAGAACTCGACTCGTTTTTAATAAATACTAGGTTGGTTGGTTTGCTTTGGCATGGTTTTATATACATTAAAATTTCCAGAAATGCAAGTCCATGTAAATTAGAGGAAAAGCGATACTTTAAGACCTTCACCAAGAGCTGTCCACCATTTCAGAAATCACGTCATCGTGTCAACACCACTCCTGGTATTTGACTTACCAAAATGACACACCAATATCGGTCTGCATTTGTAGCTGTCACATTTTCATTGAGTCTAAAGAGGGTTGTAAACATCTGACTACTTCATTAGGTCTTCTAGAGAGCCGTACCTAAATATTCGTATCTGGAATATATGCTTCATTATAATTTACTTTTATTTCTTCTTTATATTAAAGTTAAGGCATTATATTGGTTTTTTTGGAAATTATTTATATAAGCATATTATGCATTTGTAGGCCTATTATGCATCAATTACATTTCAGCAAAGAGGATGCTGAGACTTTTTTTTTCCCAATATAAAAAGGGATGCTAGTCTGATAGACCTGAGAATCATTGCTCTAGTAGCTCCCACACTCTCTCCTCCTGACTTGTCCTATAAATAGGAATCTCAGAATATTAGGACTTCATTAAAAAATTAAAAAAAAGGAAGAAAAAGAAAATGGGTCCTGAGTAAGGCAAAGACTATTTCCTTTTAATAAGGTGTGTGGCAATCACAGTACTATTTAAGTTGTCAAAAATGTCTGGTTGTTCCTAACATTCCTGTGAATAAATAGATGAAATCCCACAATAAAAGACCTCTCAGTGAGATAGGTTAATATGCAGAAATTTGTTTCAAAATATTTTCATCACAAAACATATGAAATCAAACTGGCATTCATAGTCAATTGTTGAGAGATTGCCACTAAAAATAGAATTGTTTGGCTTTGTCCTCTGTTTTAAAGAGAATGCTTGCTTTGAGATAGAGCCTGAACACAATAAGGTTCACAAGGCAATTCTTCCTTCATTCAGCCTCTAATTCCAAAGTACAATGAATTTTTCCTAACATGCTACTTGAACACTGTAGCTTCCACTGAGACTATCTTATCTCAATATCATTTTTTCCTTTAAAGTCATGTTTTTCATGGCGGCAGCTTTGGAGTAGAGGAAAGAGCATTGGACTTGGAGTCAGAAGACTTGGGTCTGAGTCCCGACTCTGCCACTCATTTGCCAGGTGGCATTGGAAGAGTCATTTAGCCTCTCTGGGCCTCCACTGTTTTCAATTACATACTGGGCACACCTAATCTTACAGAATTGAGACAGAGATAACAGATGGAAAGGTACTTTGTAAATTATAAAATGCTATGCAAACTTAAGAAATCATTTTGTTTTACTGCACTTCATCAAAGTGGCCAATAGCTTTCTGTGCAAATACAATTTCCAGAACTCTGTTGTTTGTAACTAGTGTTAAAGATGTACCCATAGTTAAAGACAGGTAGAAAATAGACTCTTTTCCTACCTTCGCAGTTCCATCGCTCGTCGCAATCTTTCAAAGCGAACTAAATGCTCTCTTAGTCTTTGTTCCTTCATTTTTTCAAAAGGCAAGATGTCTTTCCTTCTATAGTCTTTGTCTCTTTTTTTATCTAGGCTAGCTCTCTCCTTTTCCTTGCTTCTTCCATGAATCTACAGAAAAAAAAATTTTTTTAAGGACTAGAAAATAAATAATAATCTGGGGTTTTGGTTTTCAAGTTCAACTGATCATTTAAAAAGCTTAAGTAAGTAATGACATTCATTCCATTTTTCTTAGATTTTCAAGCACAGAAGTAAGCAAAACTGAATTATTTTCTTTTGGAAAACAGGTAGAATAGTATACAGCATCCTTCCCAGAGACTTACTTTCTCATATCTTCCTCTTCTTGATGGCCTACAATGATCTCCTTTAGTTTGGTCTAGTATTACCATATGTCCTGGACTCTTAGAACCTAAGAGGGGGAAAAAAAGTACATAAACAAATGCCTAAAAAAAATCATTAAAAAAGACAATCAATATAATGTAAAAATTATGAATTCTTAGATAGTCAGATATTCACAAACTAGCCCATGAAATAAAAACACCTACTTATTCTGTGAGAACTGAATAACACATAGTTTTTAAACATAGCTCAATCCACAAACATAAATATTTTCTGTGATACCAAAAGATCCCAACTCAGTTACACAGCTACAAATCAATGACCGTTTTCAGCCAGCCCAAGTTTTCCAGTAAAGGGTCTTGGCTGGAAGAACACATTTGCATCCCAAGAGTAGAGGTTAAGAAGACAACTAGTGCTACTGCTACTGAACTTCTCTTTCTACCACAGTGACATTTAACAATGAAGTTGAAATATTTATCTGCACTGCAATCTCAGGTTTTTCCTTCCACTGTAAAAATGAAGTTATAGAAAGCATTAGAAAGGGATAAGAAAGATACATAGCATACTTATTCGCTTCTTTTCTTCACTTTTTTTAATCGATTCTGAAGTTTGGCCACTTGATCCATTATCATTCTTCTCGTCTTTACCTTCTATTTTCTTAATCTCCTTGCCTTCTTTCTTTTCACACTTCTCAGATAACCTTTTCTCTTCTTTTTTGACAGAGGCTTGTGTCCTGACCATACCACCCAAGAAAACAACACAATGAGAATGACTTCATCAATTTTCAAAAAAAGTCTACGTGCTAATCAAAAAAAATAAATCCTTACTTGCTACTTCTATCACTCATATTTTTTTTATCTCCAGAACTTCTTGAACTACTCTTTTCATCATTTTCCTTCTTCAGTTCTTTCTTAGAAGGATCACCTTTAACCTGAAAGGTTTAAGCAGAAAAAGAACCAGTATGTTACATTTATGATCATAAAAAGGATGTTGCTGGGAGAAACTTTGGAAAACATGGAAATAAAAAAAAAAAAAAAACAATTACTTCAAAATTATACCGAATTTTACTGTCTACTGGTATAACATCTTTAAGTTGAGCATTACTGGCCCTCAAAGTAACCTTCCTCTTATATATCATTTAGGCAAGCTTACTTTTTCAACAGAAATCAGCTGTCCATGCAGCTCAGTGCGATGAAGATGTGCAATGCATCTGGACACCTCTGTGCTTGAAGACATAGTTACAATGCCATAGCACTTTGCCCCAGGACTTCGAGCATTTGTAACTACCTTTGCACTCAGAACCTATAACATAAGATAATACTTTACGTGGTTTTACAACTTTACAATCACATACATTTCTGAATAGATCAAACTTCAGAACTAAGGCGATTCAAATAAAGATACTATTTAGGATATAGAAATTCATGATAAAGGATAAATTTAGGATATATATTACTGTTTCATATTCTTGTGATTACTATCTACTTCGCTTACAAGTACTTAGTAATTACTCAGGGGAACAATTTAAAATGCCAAGAAAGCAATTTAACCTACTTTTAGTTTTTTTTATTTATTTTTTCAAATATATAACCAAAACACAGTTAGTCACATTAAAGAAATAATTGTACAATTAATGAAAGTTAAGAAATGATATTCTCAGTTAGATTTGGGCCAAATTTCCTCTATCATAAGCCCATCCTGAATTGTTTTTTTTCCATCCTGAATTTCTTAAAAGGAAAAAAGGTAACTTTCTAGAAAGTTTCTAAATGAGTATTAACAATTTTTGAAAACAAAAAATTTCGAAAAATGAAAAAAGAATCATCTACAAATAAATCAATCTTTAACACAGCTTATAAAAATACACTCTAAAGAGACACTTTCTGTTCTATGCTTTTAAAATTTATACCAATATCAAAGTGACAATTTCAATTCTATAAAAGTTAAAAGGGATGGGTGAGTAAAAATGTGAGAGAACAATCTAGTGCTGAACAAAGAGAAAGACATACATAATGCCATGAAGAGGTCAACAGGGAATTTAGGAGGCTGTGTGGTGTGAATGGCTGGAACCTATCAGCTTTTATCTCAATTCTGGGAAAGGCAGATTTGCCCCAACAGCAACTTGATTTTTAATCAAGTCCAAGGTCTTATTATAAAGTGCATGGTGTCCCTATATAGTTTTAGTCCTAGGAAACGCCAGCATTAAAATATTGGTTTTGGATTTCTAACAATAAATTTCCAAGGCTGATCATGTGACTATAATTCTCAGTGTTCTGTATCTGACACCTACCAGAATCCTTAACACTCAGATAACTCTCTCTATTAGAAGGAAAAAAGACTCCTAAGATGAACAGGATATATTTTTGTAACATTCATTAATCATTATTTACCACTATTGGTCATTAATTTAATAAATATTTCAAAGCTTACTGGGTGCACACAAAGTATAGCAGAAAAAGTCCGTGGTATCAAAGAACTTACACTGAAGTAGATTACATATGATGTATAATGAAAATAGAAAATATAAAGTAGAAAGTAGTGAGTGCCTTAAGGGATACAGATCAACCATAGTGCAATTCAACAATTACTAATTGAGTATTTAACTCATTTAATTATTGACTACTTTCCTATTAGGTCTTCCTCTTATACACGAGGGAAACCTTCCTGATGAACCAACTATAGTAAACCCTCCCCTTTTTGCTCTTAGCAACTCTTCCCATCATAGCACATACCACAACTTCTGATTAAGTATATTTTTACCAGTTTTACATTTTTCTCCACTACTGTACTAGAATCTGTATGACAGGGACATGAGTTTCCACGCACTCCTAAATTCTAAAACCCATTATCTAATATTAGCCTACCTATATTTTCCAAACAACCAGATCAGTCTCAGATACCAGTTCCTGGAAATACCATGATGAATGTGATAAAACTCAAGTCCTTGGCTGAAATGGGCTCAAAATAGGAGCTTTATTTTTTTTTTAATTTTTTTTGATTTTTTATTTATTTATGATAGTCACAGAGAGAGAGAGAGAGGCAGAGACACAGGCAGAGGGAGAAGCAGGCTCCATGCACCGGGAGCCCGATGTGGGATTCGATCCCGGGTCTCCAGGATCATGCCCTGGGCCAAAGGCAGGCGCCAAACCGCTGCGCCACCCAGGGATCCCAGGAGCTTTATTTTTTAAGATTTTATTTATTTTTCATGAGAAACAAGGAGAGAGGCAGAGACTTAGGCAGAGGGAGAAGCAGACTCCCTGAGGGGAACTTGATGTGGAACTCGATCCCAGAACTCCAGGATCACGACCTGAGCCAAAGGCAGACATTCAAGCACCAAGCCACCCAGGCATCCCTCAAAATAGAAGCTTTTAATACAACGATCCCCAGGGCTCAGGGTGAGATTATATGATGAAACTCACCATCACCACAGAACTCAACAATTATGCCTATACCAGTCCTAATGAAAAACAAGAAATTGGAAGGTTTTATATAATATTATTTTACACATAATCCCCATTTCAAATGGAGATACTAGAAAGATAGATAAAAGTAAAAACAGTGTACCTTTCCATATTTGCCAAAGAGGTTCTTCAAGTCAGCAGCTTTGGTATTAGAAGAAAGTCCACTAACCCAGATATTTTTAGTTGAGCTTCCACTGCTACCACTAGCACTACTTGTACTTCCTAGAATAGATTTAATATCAGACATTTTAGTGTCTTGATTGGAAATTTTATTTTTTAACGAAATTTTTAAGTCGATAGTCTTTCAAAATTACAAATCCTCTTTTCATTTAGTTACAATAGTACAACCCTGCTGTATCAAAATCCTATGAATTTGCTATTATTGAAACAAACACAACAGACAATATAGCTAGTGATGAAAAAAGCCTGAACATCTGTGTACTTCCTTCTTAGTGCATAAGTTTAAAATCAAAATGGGTAAAACATCAACAACAGGTCTTGGACTTTCACTGTTAAGTTTAATCATTTATACTCTACCACTGCACTGAATACAAACAACCAGAAAGCAGTCATCAAGAAATATACAGACTGCTTAATTACCCACATCTGTTCTGGGCTTTAGATTCTGAGAAACTGGGAGGGCAAGAGGGAACAGTCCAAACAAGGGATAAACTATTTGCAAGAATTTGAACTTTTAATAACAAAGACTAACTCATCTCCATTCTCTAGTAGAGAAAGAATAAAAAAGAAATTATATGCAGCTAAATAACTCTGGATATAATAAAACAATCTTCTAAAATCAATTATAAGAATAAAACCAGAAACCTCGAGATCCTTTAGAACTGATAAATATAAAATTATATGATTATTTTTATACTACTTCCATACACAAATTATGGTTTCATACACAGTCACCCTCCTAGTGCTTTTCCTCAAACATGCTGTTATAAAAGGGGAGCTTGCATTCATTTGACTTTACTTGGAAAATAATTGTTATCCACTTTAAGAAAAACTGTATGTAATAATTAAAAGTAACAATTTTTGTAACTGCAGGTTATTCTATGTAGAAGGGGTTAAAAATTTCAATGCTCTAGAATAGAACATGCCACAAGTGTTAGTTGAAAAATTACTGTCAACATCGACTTATGAGGAGACAACACATACCTGACTCAAACATTTTAAATATTAGTGGTTGCTGCATTTCTACTCTTAAAAAATGCATTTATCAAGAGATCGACTTTATTTTATGAAATGCTAATAAAAAGTACATATATATATCTTTTTTATGTTACCAGTAACATCTAGGCCCAGGTACTTCTCTTACAGAAAAAAAAAAAAAACTTTTTAGTTAATAGAAAAAAGTTACCATTTAATCAAGACCACTAAGCTTCTAAATTTAAAGGGTAACATTTAATAAAGTTATTATATTTTGTCCATTAACCAAAACTGTAAGGGATCTAAGTATTGCAATTAATTGTAAATTAGTAAATCAATTACTAAAATTTCCAACCATGAAAACATACCAACAAAATATACTACATTAACCATAAAACAGATTAACATTCACTATAGAGGCATTTAGGACTTTGCAGTACCTGAACGGTATTATTTTTCCCTTAAAATGCTTTTTTAGAAAACAATAAATGTTTTTCAAGTAGATGGCATATGTACAAGAGGAGATTATAGTGCACAGCCATGAGATAACCAGACATCCCAATAACATATATTGCATCTTTACGCTACAAGAATTTAAAATAAAACTAATTTCCTACACAAGACTCTGATCTAAAACAAGTCAAATTAAGAAGTAAATCTTAAAAAGAAGTAAATCTTCAAGAATCAAAATTCTGTAAACTATGTTAATAGAAGTATGCCCTTGTTTAAACAACGAAAAAAAACATGTTAGAGACTGATTTTCTTTTAAATACTAAACTCCACAAATATAAGCAAATATTATTTACAGTACATTTCCTACAGGGAAAAAGTTGTGCTAGCGTATAAAGGTTACAAGTGACTACAATTAAAGATAAAATACTTCTAAAATCATAATGTAAGAAAATGTATGTATTGTATTAACATATAATAGTTGCTTAGAACACAATGTGAAATACACATACTTTTAGCATACTCATACCAGTTTACAGATTAAAGTGTTAAGCTTCTATCACACCGAGTGTTGCAGAATCTGTATAACTCAATAATTTACACAAAGGCCCACCCAAAATTTTTAGTATGGTCATTTTTAATGACTAAAGATCAAAGGAAACCCCAAGCAATTTTTACTCTTTAATGAAAATATGCAATTTACCACTGAAACAAATACGAAAAAATCCATTACCTTTGTCATCTTTGGATGATGCCTTGCTGTCTTTAGA